GAATAAATCTTATTTTGTCTGCCCCTTTTCAACCCAGAATATATTCAAACGAAACATAATTTACAAAACAATACTAAAACATAAAAATAAAAAAGTAAAATAAAAAATAAAAACAACAACATAAAAATATATGATTACCCCAGCAATAGCCTGGCTCTTGCCTTCCTACACAGTTCTGCTCAATTCTAGTTTCCCTTCCCAGCTCCTTGTATGAAGTAAAGCGAAGGACAAGGGTCTGGTTTTAACCAGGCAAATGGGCCTGTCTTTGCAGAAATTTGCCTTTGATCCAACATGGCGGCTTTCAAGATGATGGCCAAGATTGGCCTCCTCACCCATTACTTGCTGGAGTTTTCAGAAATGTCATTTTCCCTTTTCTTTCTGAAATAAAAGGGTGTCCTGTGACTTTTGACTCACCCTGTAGATCTGCTCATCTTGTATAAAACTGACCATGTGACAGAAGTGATTATATAAAAAAAAAGAATAAGATAATAATAGTCAGACTGATTTGATTTGTCTCTTTTTGTGTCCAGCGTCATCATGACGGGAGCCTACAACAACTTTTTCCGAATGTTCGACCGCAACACCAAACGCGACGTGACCCTGGAGGCCTCGAGGGAGAGCAGCAAACCCCGGGCCGTCCTGAAGCCGCGGCGGGTCTGCGCCGCCGGGGGCAAGCGGCGGAAGGACGACATCAGRGTGGACAGCCTGGACTTCACCAAGAAGATCCTGCACACGGCCTGGCACCCCACGGAGAACATCATCGCCATCGCCGCCACCAACAACCTGTACATCTTCCAGGACAAACTCAGCTCCGAGATGCATTAACGAACCGGATGTCAGKGGTGGATTCAAACGAGTTTACAAGCAAAACACACCCAACTATGCTAGAATGTACAATATGAGACTCACACACACTCGCCCAACACATACACACACTCACACACACTACACCTCCTCCTCAACCTCTCACAACTGAAAGGAGTCCAGCTAGGGATAAAAATAAGGAACTGGCTGGATTACACAATGGATTATGGATTGGAAAGTTGCCTGAAKTGTGGATTTGTTTTTGTTAGCCAGTGGATTGTGCTCGATGGTGTTTTCATTTCTTCAGCTCAGCGTCTGAGGGCGATCAGATCCCCACAGACCGGAAAGACGTTTACACGTTTTTGTCTTTTTTTTTTAAATTATCATTTCTAACTCTTCAATCTCTTTTGCTTTCTCCACCTCCTCCTTTCTYCTTGTGTGCTCAAGCAGAACCTATTCTAATCCCTTTGCCCACTGTTTTGTGTAAAAAGAAAAAACAAACAAAAAAAATCTGTGGTTGTCTACCAGCAGAACTGATGAGAAACGGGGCATTTATATAACAGTTTTTTCAATTCCTAAAAGCTTTTTTTCACTCGATTTAGTTTTTATAGCTTCTTTTTACAGGACGTTGATGATGGTTGCTACAATCCCAACATGAAGCGACTCGTGTAGTGAAGCAGGAAGAACTTAGGACCCTCACCTCAACCCACCAGATGCCTCCCTGATTCAGGAAAAAACACCCGACAGAAAGAAGCAGCAGACGTTCACAGATTATTACAACACGAGGAGACACATTCACAAACACTGACTCTTTTCTTTTTTTTTTTTTCTCTCTCTCTGCTGAAACAGGTCCAAATGTTTCTGTTTGTTGTTTCTGCTTCTGGTCCAGGGCTGTGTTGTGTGCTGCTTCAACACGTTGATACATTTAACTCAGATAAAGCAAAAATGTTAATAATAATAATAATAATAATAATAAAAAAAGTTAAATACTTTCAGCAATGAAGCAAAAAAGCTGCTGCATGTCAAACGGATTTATTCTAAGTATTTAAAGAATTGACTGACTTGGCTGCCTTTTTTTTTTAAAATCATTTAGCTTTAGAAAAGGCCTCAGGGGCCTCCGTGCAGCACGAACAACCGTAGATGACTGAGCCCCTCTGTGTTTGTGTCGTCAGACACTGAAGCATGTTTACCAGTGATCGGTTTGTACACGTCCGTTTTGAATGAAGCTGTCAACAAATCGGTTTCTACTCACTGAAACAAACAAAACAAGGAATGTTTCAGATAAACGTTATACTGTCAAAGTAAAAAAAAAATCAAGGGGCCTCAGTGGTGTCTGTATATATCAGATCCTTTCCTGACTTGAATGAGGTTTTGTATCGTCTGTCAACCATCTGTGGACCCGATCGTCTGTACTGATGATTGCTTCCAAAGCTACAGCAGTGATGGTACTTTCAACTCTTTGGCCTTCTTCACCGACGACTTTACAGTTGCGCAGAAGCTTTTATTTTTAAAAAAAAAGACGGGACTCTTAACGGGTTCTTTTATTTGGAACGTCTGTCAGTCGTACTCTGTCCTGATCGAATAACGTTGATCCACATATTTTTGTRTAAATATATGTTGACATGATTGTCAGACAGTTAGATATAATGTTAATATGCTTTTTTTCTGAATAAAGGATTCGACAAAATTGCATCCAACGAGGGAATGGCTGTATTTTTTATTAAAGGGTAAATATCCATGCATCCAGTTCTCAAACAAACTGTCAAGAAAACTGAGAAAACTATTTTTTTATAGTAGGAGTATAAAAAACAAAAAATATTCTCATGTCAGCTTGTGGCCCCAGGGCTGCAGGTTGCAGACCCCTGACCCAGAGCCAACTTACGGTGAATTTTTTCTGCTTTTAGTTTTATAGTCGCAGCTGCCCCCTAGTGGCTATTTGTAGTTTGTGCATTTGGGAATAAAGTTATTCTTAGATGAACTAAAAAAAAACTGTATCTTGGATGTTTATCATTTTCATTTTAATAATTACAAGACACTCAGAAGTAAAACATGCAATAATTTGTATTTGACTCGTTTGCTTGAAGAGTTGTTTTTCTTTTCTTCACCTAAATATAGTCTTTTAGAAATCCATTCATTGCATTATTTTTCCCCTAATCTTTCTAGCAAAAATACACAAGTCCCCATAAATAAACTAGAAATGTTAAAAATGACTTGACCGTGGGCCAGAATAATCTGTGAAACTAAAGCAACTTTAGTTTCGTGTTTAAGATTAGAACAATACAAATAGTTAAATAAATACAGCAGAGAGCTACTGTTTTTTCACATTTATGTCACAGTACAGAAAACAGTGACATTTAAACTCACAACACATCACCAGTCAGACTTGAAATGTTCATTAAATCAAATCTCTGCACAGCAGAGATGAAGACAAACACTAGCAGGGAAACGAAAAGAAAAACAGAAGGCAAAAATCATTTTGCTTTACTGTTTATGTGGCTGTGATTTAGAAAAAAGCTAAAAAAATAAACTATTCTCGTCTAAATTAAGTTTCAAATTGTTGTTTTAAGGCACTTCAGCAATAACTTCATGGATGTTTACTGTTTAGTGTTACATTACTAAAAGCTGACAGTAAATTAGGCCTTCATGGGCAACAAATTTCTCCAATAAATTCAAGCTAAACAAAACACTTAGTACACTTCATTAAATAAACCCTGGAATTATAATATTGCTGATTTTACATGTCAAATATGTCTAAATATTGCCACATATTGACAATGTTTGTATGAAAAAGAAAAACTTAACCATTGAACTTCATAAAAGTTTGTGGTGAGCACCCACGCAGCTTAAACTGGATGAAATGTTTCAAACACACAGTGTGGGATGTTTACATGTTTTTCCTAATGTAGTGTTAGGCAGTAAAACCTCATTAATTTGTGTTTCTACTTGGTCTTCTAATCACAAACAGTATATATTTTGGCTCAAAAGCTTCAAGAACACAAACACGTACCTGCAGATATAAATGCCTGAGGAACTCTTCTAAAGTATAATCTCTGTATAATTGCAGTTAAAAGCAGTTTTGTACAATCATTAGCGTTCTCACAGTACTTTCATCTAGGGATGTCCCGATCAGATACTCAGTATTGGGATCGGTAGCAGATATGGCCATTTTTTTGAAAATCGGGAAGAATCGGATTTAGTCATGTGATCGGGCCGATCCAGTTTTTGCAACAGTTTTCAGCATCATCGTGCTTTACAACTGCCGTTAAGAAGTCAAGACGCACACAAGTATGCAACCATGTCCACAGTGTGGGAACACTTTTCAATGGGAAAACAATGTTGCTGAAACTGCATCTTGCAAAATCTGCAAACTGGATGTTTCTCGTGGTGGGAACAGCAGGGCTCGTTTTAACACTYCCAACCTTGTCACTTGGAAAGAAATAAAGAAATAAAGCTATCGGATCGGTATTGGACCGGTATCGGGAAAGACTAATCATTAAAAAAATCGGATTGTATCAGGAGCCAAAATCTGGATCGGGACATCCCTACTTTCATCATCAGGAGGCATCTTTTCTCTCAAACGCGTGTTRCCCTCTACCCGCCCTCCGGTACTGCCGCTTCAGCCTCCGACTCCGAGTGCTCCTCCAACCGAGCTGTCAGGAATGGGTTGAGGAAGAAGTCGAAGCCAAACTGGAGGGCGCTTTGAGCCGTGCGTCTCCAGTCGTGCTCAATCTTGTACTGTTTGCGGCTGAGGATGCGGGCATCGCCGCACGAGAGGCAGTGGATGGCTTTCATTTCAAACACGGGCCACTTGGAGCCCAATCGACCCTCCAGTATGGTGCTGAACTCCACCAGGCTGCCGGCGTTCAAGTGCAACAGCACGGACTTGAACTCGTTACTTGCCCGCAGGACGATGTCCTTAGTTGCGTCTTCATCCTCGACGATCGTCCCGTTCCTGGTCTTCCTCTCCAGCGGCATGCCCAGCGTGACTTCGAACTTGTAACGGTCAAAGCGTTTGATGTGGCACTGATGCTTGGCCAGTCTTTTCAGTTTGCAGAGCGGGTCTTCTAGAGGAGGAGCCGGGGCGGGCCGGGGATAGGGTTCAGTGGGGGGGTTCTCTTTAACACACAGGGGATAGGGCTCCCCGTACAGACACCGCATCCAGTCCGCTACGAAGACGGGCAGCAGGTTGATAACGGACTGCGGCCCGTTCTCGATGTCGGTCACACGGACGTACTTAAAGCGTCCTGTCCAGGTGACCCGGTGCCCTTCAAGATGAGAGCAGAGGATCTGGGTTTGGGCCATGTTGGACTCTTTCCACGCCAAAGGCCCGCAGAGGTTGCTGTATTCAGGCCACGTCAGGGTCGAGTTATACACCTTCATGCCGTCGGACCTGTAGACGTACATCCAGCAGAACAGCACCACCGCGCTCAGCCACACCAAGATGAGCTTCACGATGCTGCTCCGTGACAACGACCGAAGAACCGTGACGGGGTTGAGGCTGAAGCGAGTCCAAAGCCTCAGCACGACCGGAACACAGCAGACGGTTAGTGTCGCCGCCATCTTGGCCAGCTCTAGGGTGAGGAACCACTGCACCAACTGGATCATAAGCATCGCAGCCACGCCCAGCGACAGGACGGGAAGGGCGAATATGAAAAGGAAATAACCCACGCAGGTCCGGATGAGTCCTATAGTGGTGGCATTGTTGAGAAACACCAAGCAGAGCTCACACCAGGTGAAACAAACCAGGTAAGGCACCAGGCACAGGTAGATGCCCTTAAAACCTCTCAGCTGGGCCATACGGAAGAGGAGATAAAAAAGGTGTCCGTACAGGAGGCATGGCACTCCCACGTTTAACGCCACGATGTCGCCGAGTGGCAGCGTGATGAACGTCGTCCCGAAGATCCGGAGAAACCACACGGACTCTGGCAAGAGCTTAGTGAGAGAGCACGCTCCAGAGAGGACCTCCGTGAAAAGGGCTTTACGGGCAAGGAGCTGAGCAGAGGCGTGGAGGCTGAGGAAGGCTGTGATGGTGAAGAAGAGGGCGATGGCCGCCAGCTCAGAGCAGGGAATCCAAGATTTATCTGCGACGGGGAAGGAGAAAACAACAAAGACTACAGAGAGCAGGAAGTACCTGAAAAGAAAAAAACGAGGGTTTACATGTATGCGGATGACACCTTGGTTTCAATCAGAGTCTGTTTTCTTTTAATCTACTGCTTCTTTTGATAGCTTTTTTTGCCCACATTTTYCTATCAATACATTAGTTTGTGGCTTGTGATGAACTTACAGATAAGGTTCCAAGTGTGTCCATCCAAAGTTTGTCTCTGCCTGCTCCAGATCAAGTCCAGGTTCAAAATGAGCCAGCAGGTCTGTGAGGGCCCGGAAATGTTCCCACGCCTTCGAATTCTGTGAAGAAASAGGTTTTATTTCATTGTTTTTTTCCCAACTTGCTTCAATCCCAATCGCATTCACAGCACAACCAGCCAAGACCGAGAAAAGAGAGAAAATCACCGACCTGAAACACACGCAGCGTGCAGATGACCATGGAGAAGAAGGAGAGGTAGAAAACCAGCACAGGAATGAGGAAGATGAAGAACTCAATGGTGAGGTTGGAGATGATGAAGAAGAAGACGAGCGCGTTCATGTGGTGAGTGGGGATCAGGGCGCTGAGCCACTGCATGCCGGCTCGCGACGCCCAGTCGATCAGATGCTCCTTTATTTCCAGCAGGGCGTAGAGAGGAAACTTCAACATCTGAGAGGAAACACCAGAAACAAGAGATCCTTATTTATATAATCCGTGATTTTCTGACTGAAACCTGAGGAGTGTCCCCTTCTTGCTGTTGCCCAAGTGCTCAAAAATAATGGTTTGTTGTTTTTATTCTCTTCAGAGTTTAGACTTCAACAAATATGCGAAACTGTTAATGTTATTGAAAGGTTTTTCACCTTCTGATGTAGGGGCAGCTCATCAGGATTTTTCACGACCACGTGATCCTCATCATCGTCATCATCATCTGTTGCAGCAGCCATGACTGGTGACGGTGCAATCCCCTGAGCATATCTCTTTGTCATCTCCACGAAATCCTCAAGACCCACATGGGAACTGGCTGCAAGCAGAACAAAAAAAAACTTTTGTCCCATTGCAGCTTTGCTTTCTAGAAAATAATTCCCTAAGACATTTTCAGAACAACCACAGAAAGAGAAATAGTCACTTAGTAGCCGTATTTCAAGAGACACYTACCCTCACTGGTAACCATGGTCTCCAGGACACGCCTTTGTTTCTTGGTAGAACTGTTAAGTGGACCTGAGGTGATGGGTGTGCCTAAAAAAATGAAAGTATTTATATAAAAAAAACATTAGAAAAACAAAAACCTTAATAGAATCCTAAAAAAGACTAAAATAAACTTTTGCACCTGGTTCTGCGTGGACATGTTCGACATTCTCCAGCAGCTCAGAAATGGCCACTTTCTTCTTTTTCTCTGGATTCAGCTTCCAGTACATGAGCAGAGCCGCCTTCCTGACTCCCCGCTCAAAACGTGTCTCRGTGCACAACTTCTTCACCTCCTCAGAGTTCTCCAAAGTGATGCCTGAAGAACATAAAAACAGCAACAAAAGTGCACCTAAAACTTCTGCCATCGCACTGGACTGAGGGAGGCCGTGGGGAATGTTTGTACCTTTCCTGGAAGCTAAGCATTGCTGCAGCAGTCTGACAGCATCCTTGCGGCCCTGTTTGGCAGCCTGGACCAGCCAAGTGACCGCCGTGCAGTGATTCAGTTCTTCGTCGCCCTCTTCTGCCAGGGCCAGAAAGTAACGACCCATCTGGACACACACACACATACACACACAAATAGATGATTATACTTGCAAGACGAGCGTTGCTGGGTCATTTTTAACTTCCTGACCTCTATTGTTTCAATAACTTTGCAAAACTTGGCTGATCTGCTGTGTTTGTACCATATGGCCACTGACAGTATTTTGCAATATGTTCATCTCTACACTGACCTTTGTTTGTGCTTTAGCATCACCTGACTTTGCTTTCTCCTCCAAGTCTTCAAAACTGAACTCCTCCTCTGGCTCATCTGAAACAGACAAGTGCTAATTAGTRGCTGTGGTTGATTTAATGGGTTTTGACATTGCAGCATTTGTGTTAGCTAATTAACAAAAAAGGAAGGACCATTCTGTTGTTGAACTTTCCAAGTCCTGACAAAGCTTRTTTTTTTTTACACCTGCTACCCTGAAAAATGGCTGATCATGCAACTGTGTGTGTTTGTATAGTAGCAAAAAAATCTCATGAATATGAGAACAGATTTTATTGAAACGCTTAGAAAGTATTCAACCCAATTTAAAGTCAACACGATTCAAGACGGCTGCCACAGATGCTCAACTTTAAAAACAAAACAAAACACAATATCAACAATCAACTTTATAGATACTGAGCTAAATTGTGGTGTGGTAGTAGCTGGGAGTCATCCTTCCTACACACTCTGAGCGCCAACAGATCACACAAGAAAACCCAGTTATATAGAACAGCTGGAGCTCAAACTAAAAATAAATCCTTAAAGTAAAAATAACAAGTCACATTTGTTGTGGTGTAAAGAAAGAGGAGGTAGAAACAAAATCCAACAATCTCACATGCTTTAAGAGAGACTACAAGTGAAGCTGCAGCCTGGCTTTGACTTGAAAAGTCTAAGAAAATATTATTTGTTTACAGGCTTCATTTCCCCATCAAGGCTCTTAATATGCTGCATCAGCATGATCCCCATCTCTGAGCTCCAAAGCAACTCTTTATTTTGCTGCTGTCCTTAATGTAACACAAACATCATCAAGGACTCAACCTGCTTGATTTTTCTTACATTAGCTAAAATCTATTGATGTTTATTTGCATGTTCATGCTACGTTGGGTATTTTTCAGAGCGCCAGAATAAAAATAACAGACTAGCATTAAGTAAGTGACTGAGGTGTCAGATTTCAAACTTTCCACTCATACTCTATTGATAATATCATTGCTAAGACATTCAAAAAGTTGAACCTGATATCCAACTATCTGAAGGCTTCATAATACATTTGACTGGCTAAAACCCCCCACAGAGGCAAGACTGTTTTTTCCCTACAAGTCAGCAGAATGGGAGTGGCTGCTTTACATGTTGTAGTTGTTGGAAACAGATGCAGCTACCTGGGTGTGTTAGCTGCACTGATTGGTAAAAACGTAAAAAGTGAAACAAAAAGCAGTAAAGTTTCTGTGTTAGGTCAAAAGTCTGAGTTTGACTCGTACCCGGTTCAGGCGAGCCAGGTGGTTGTGGCGCCGCAGCAGCCGAGGCCGCATTGAGCTGGGATCGTCCCAACTGAGAGAGGCTTCTGGTGGGCTGGCAAGGGGACGAGGACGTCGGTGAGGAGAGGGAGGAAGAGCGAGAAGAGAGACTCGGACGTGAACGAGGGGAAGCTGTGGAGGGGGACGATGAGGGAGTGGTCGGAGGGGTTGGCATCGTGAGTTTGGGCTTCTTCTGGTCCGGAGTCGACGCGGTAGCGGACAAGCCGAGGGAGGAAGTGCCCGGCCTCATGGTGGTCAAASAGGAAGAGTTGAGTTTTGGTGTGGACAAGTTTCCTGTAGGTGAAGGATCCATGGCTGAAATCAGGTCAAATTAAAASAGCAAAGAAAGAGTTTGTGGCTTTTAAAGGAGCTTGAAAAAATATATATATAGTTTTGGATTTAATACATGTTGTTTTGGACTTCAGCTGAGTTTTCCACTCTATAGCCATTTAACTCTGATCTCTGAATCATTCCGACATAAAAAAAGAGGTTTTACATCTTATAAGAGAACCAGTGTTATGCTGATACATTTAGCACTGAAACAATGCAAATTGAATGTTTAGTTACTTTATCGCCTGTGGTCTGTCTCAAAAACAGAACTTGTTCTAGTTTCTTTAATTGAATATGTTGAATAACACAAGTTGATAAGGACAAAATAGTATTTCAGCGCCAATAAGTTGATTCCTAAAAGTTATTGGATAAAAACTTGGCATAAACTTGACGTTCACCTGAAGGATGGTGCATTGTTTTCCATACTGTTTCCTAAAAGATAATATTAAAGACATACTGATAACCTGCATTTTTTGGAAACAAAATGTAATGTAATTAGAAATTGCTTTAACTATTGCACAATACTGTATTTGTTAGTAGAAAATAGCTGAAAACTTTAATGTAGATTGATACATTTAACTGTTTTAGCTCCAGCATTTATTTCATAGCTGTAGTTATGGACCTGTAGCATCTCACACAGGCCAGTTTTTATTTTTCCGTTTAGTGTTTCTCTGTTGTCCAACGTGTACTTCTGCTCTTCTGTATACGTTTTTATTATCAGGTTTAGAAGATCATCATCAGATGGACCACTAAGGTCTATTTTTGACATCACAAGGGCTCTGTGATGCTAAACTGAGAAGGTGACATCCTTGAACTGATTTTAAAATAGAAGTGGCATTTTCCAGCTGAGCTCAGTGAATCACATTTATTTAGTTATATAACATAAATACAGTGTTTAATGGGGGTATTTATTAGACTATTATTAAGGATTAGGAAGCCTAACTGGCGATTTACGCTAATTATGCTAACATTCATATCTGATGTCAGCTTACCTTTGTCGTGAACAAACCGGTTTAATTCACGTCCTTCAGCGTAAAAGAGTGGCTGGAAAAACCTCCGGTAGGTTGTTATTCAATACCCCAAAGCATTTCCCCCCGTTTGAGGTATGTGACATTAGTATACCCTCTCCTTCTACCTCGCAGTAGTCAAACTCCAAACAGTGAACACAGGAAAGTCAGCCAGCGGCCCGCTTCGATGCTCACGCCTCATTTTCATTCTGCGCGTTTTGATTGGACAGAATTCATGACTCGCTTTTCTAGTCGCGATGTGATTGGCTAGAGAAAAAGGAAGCTAAATTGTTGTCATTGAGCCGAGATCAATCAAATTCCGAATGGGAGCATTCTGTCCACCGGAAACTGTTTGAATATTATCGTGTTTAATACACTCAAGTAAATAGGCCCTAACTCCATAAAAAGTGTATAAAATATAGTTTGTGGTTGTTTAAATATGCGTTGTCTTTACAATTCATTTTTATTGTTTCTTATTGTAACGACGTACCAGTTTTTGACCACTAGATGGCAGCAAATGCTGTTTTTTCCTTCTTTTTTGACTAAACGTATATACCATTTATACAGGAGATAAAGACCAAGTTGAGGGATGACTATTGTGACACATCTAACTGTTCATATGTAATTTAGGACATTTAATTTGTCATCCACATTGCCTTTGTTGTTTTCAGTTGTAAAACCCTTATATAACCCTTATCCGTTAAATGAAATGATTGTGAAAACGGTGGCCTACCTTTTATATATTAATCAATTTAAAAGAGTGGTTGATGAGATTAAAGCAAAACATCTGTAAAATGATAACTGATATATAATACAAACTCCCCAGTGTAGATCACGTTCTGATAAAAAAGTTTTATCTACAACAAAAATTGTGATGCAAAATATTTGATTTTAACATAATACTCGATGTTACTCTCTGAAACGAGGCTAAAAAAATGACTGGGGGGTCAGACAAAGAAAAGATTACCGTCTAGAATTTCTTCAGAAACCAGAAAATCAGGAAGGGGACAAACAATTATTGGACATGGAAGATAATGGGCTTAGATTAAAATTCAAGTTTGAGATAAAAAAAATAGAAATTATACTGTGACAAAAAAGAAAGAAAGAAAGAAAAAAGAAAAAGGAAGCAGTGAAGGAAATAAATTAGGGCCCTAATTACCTAACCCCAGCTGCACTGAAGCAGTTATGTAATTGCCTCTCAATTTGCAGATTAATTCAATCCAGACTATAGGATAAACGGCACCCTTTTACTGGTTTTATCCTTTCACATGCACACCTTTAATCTATATTAGGCAATCAGGTTTATGACCTGGCTTTGACACACACGTGCTCAAAGCTCCATCCCATCTAAAATAAGCAGCTCAAGACAGATATTTCTTTAATGAGCTTAGTGTGAGTCTGTCAGAGCCAGACTGCCAGCCACGGCCAGCTTCCACCGAGCCGCCATTACTTACTGAAAATGGGAACAAGCTGTGTTGGTGACTCCTGGCTGTATGAACTCAGGAGGTCACCTTRCCAGAATCAGTTGGTGAACTTTGTGACCCAGTAGAAGTGAGACTGTTTGTCTGAGAAGTGCTCAACCCACTCTGTTTGTCCTCAGCTCCTTCAACAAGTTGTCMGAGGAGGACCGACCTGAAGAGGAGAGGAGGAGGTATGATCAGTAACCATAGCAACTYGCAGGATTTTATGTGAGCAGATGACTGCAGAGAAGATTAATATGTTCAACACAAACACAGCTGACCTTTGAAGTGTTTCTGAGACTATAACTCATTTTAAGATTTGAAACTGGCTGCTTTTTAAAAATTTTATTATGTAAACAACCGACAATATCATCTTTACAGTAAAAACTATAAACCATGATCTCATTTCTGAAAAAAATGTAGTGTTACCTAAAAATGACCAAACTTTTTTTTTTCATTTTTCCCCCCAAATAATTTTATTTTATGAACTGTTGTTCTTTACAAGGAACTCCTGCACTTTTTCTAATTTGGAAAAACTCAACTCCTTCCTGCGGGTTATTTTTCTTGCTCAGTTCTAAAAACCTTTCCACATATTGATCTGCAGCTATTTTAGGGACTGGTTGGCACAGAGGTAAAACAAAACAGAGAGAAAGTAGGTTAGTTACTTCTTTGAGGTCTGGGTTTATAATACTGTTCTGCAATTGTTTAAATTCTTTGCTCAAAAGCTTATAAAATGCTACAAATGTAAGATTATGTTCTCAAACACCAGAGATTTATTTATGTTATTAAAGATCTGATCAAGGCAGTAAGTCAGTCTCCCATCCATCCATCCATCCATCCATCCATCCATCCATCCATCCATCCATCCATCCATCCAGTCCATCCAGCCAGCACAGTGTTAGTAAAACATTGACAGTCTTGGGTGGTCCAGTGGAACATTTGAGCGCATTGCTTTTAAATGCCTCATAAATTGGGCAGCTCGTTCTATTTTAAAGAACTTTAACAAACCAAAAGAAACAAATTGGAGTCGTTCTGTTGTGAAGATTTTTGGGCCGTGGAACAACTGGCTCAGAATTTTTCAGTGACTAAAAGTTGTGACTCATGCCTGAAAAGCCTAATTACCTTCATATGAAAGTGTTACGTCACCACGAGCATCTGACTTGGGTAAAATAGGTCGGCCTGGTGGATTGCTGCTGAAATCGTCTGAAGGATGGATGCTGTTGCATTCACTGCATTGTTTCTGCATGTGTGTGTACCTTTTAAATATCAAAGCGTGTGCCAATTTGATTCCTTGTCTAGTGTTTTAATACTAAAGACCGTCTCTTAAAGCTGTAACGGGTTTAATCTGCTCACAGCCATGAATATGTTAAGCTCATTGTGGAAAGCTCTGGTGGATATGTTGGAAATAAGATGATTAGGTTAAGCTGGAAAAAAAATGMGACTCCTCACTTACATTGCTGTAAATGATTAACATAATAAATCATTGATATTGGGTGAGATGTGAAGAAATATTCAAATAAAAACCTAATCTGCTTCACTTTAAACCAACAGGCTCAAAACACCTTAAGCTATTTTGAGTCACAAGCCGTCATCACAAGGTTTTTGTGACGTCAGATGGAAATATTTCCTTTGTTGTTGTTGTTTTTTTTTTGTATAAAAAACACATTTATCTATTCCATTATCTTCTGCTTGTTGCAGAGTCAGGTCGCGGGGGCAGCAGTCTGAGCAGGGGGCTCAGACGTCTCTGTCCACAACAGCTCTTCTGGGAGAACTCCAAAGCATTCCCAGACCAGACAAGAGGCGTAAGAATAAACATTTTGCAGGAAGGCAGACCTCAGGGAAAACAATTAACATTCAGTCTGACATACATCTGCTTCCTGAGTCAATTTATTTGAACCAAAACTGACCGGATACACATTAATTAGTCTCCTCATTGATCTGTCTGCATCCCATTCTTCTTTTTTTTTTGTAACTTATCACTCCATTTTTTTTGCTCAAGCCATTCATTCCTCCTTTATGATTTTCTGAAATGCTTCAAACATCACCAACATGGAAAGGAGAAGAGACAAACTAAAGCCCATCCCAGGACCATGTGCCCTCCCTGTTGTGACCTCCACTGCCTCGCAGCCATGAGTTGCATATGCTGCAGCTGCAGAGAGCTGGCAGGATGTTTGTGAGCTGCTCGTGAAAGGCATGGCTGGCTGACGGGGGAGAGGCAGAGACAGGCAGCTGGGCGTAAGTAATGCACCTCCCCGGAAACTGGGTCACACWCACACCACTTTCATTTTGTCAGATTGTTCCACATATGATTTAGCAAGCCACACTGTCCCCAAAAAACAACAATAAACATGAGAAATTGGAGGTTTTTATGCTTTTCAGGACAGAGAGAGAGAGAGAGAGAGAGAGAGAGAGAGAGAGAGAGAGAGAGAG